TGACTCCATCGAAGGCTTCCATCCTTCAGCCTTCTAGGGGGAGGCCCTTGTAGTGCAACTGAAAACATGCTCTTTCAGTATCTTATAACATTGGATTTTATGGTTGTTTTAACCTTCGAAACGTCCATTTGTTTAACTGACTGCACATCCATGGTCACAAACCGTTTTGGTGAGTTCCACGCTGCACGTTCCTCGCTCTCTCTGATTCGCTTCCTATTCTTGTAGCCTCACAATATACGTTGGGTTCAGTTGCCTCCGTCTTCTATACTGTCGTATTTGACACGCCTTACGTGTCATTGCTTACCGACTAGTATCCCAGGCTCCACCCAACAGGTGTTTCTCACCTCTAGCTTACGTGTATAGTGTATGGGTGTGTCTTGTTCTTGCATAACTGCGGTCTGGGGGCGTGCTTTGCCTAAATTCGTTACTGCGTATTAGAAGTGGGTATTGGTAAGGCCCCAAGGCGGCATCTAACCCACTTGAGAAATCGAGGCGCAACTGGATAGTACTCTTGGGTTACTTGATCACAACAATGGGAGCAGCCAGCGGCAAGAAACTGATTCGCTCGATCACACCAGCACGCTATACCCACTCAGGCTGCAGTCGCACGAGTATTTGTGAAGCTTACGAGACTGGATCTCTGGGTAGAAATACTGTTTTTGCGCCGGGAGAGGGAATGCGTTTTGCCTACATTTTTATGCAGCTTCCAAGGTTGGATAGGAAGGCCTAAGCGTACTTCGCGTAAAGCTGTTCGGAGAGCCATCCACTGGGATGAGTCGGCATAACAGTACGGCTGACTTTGACATTTGTTTGGGTGCACACACGATTCCGTGGCTGGTCGAGTAGATTAAGATGATGCCATGGAGTCGCAAATTCTATACTTGAGCTCACAGACAATTCCTCCGTCTAGCGATAAGGGTTCTGGTGATGCATTTTGAACAGACAGAATTGTATGTTTGACTGGACGTTCGCCCAGCTGAGTCCATGTCGATCGGGAAAGGATGGGGATGTCAGACACTTTCTTGTAACCACTGATGCAAGAACATCGTTGATTTGAACAGACAGGTATTTTTTGTTACTTGTGAATTCGGTGCGAAATGCGGTAAGAATCATTTTCATCTTTTCACCTTGGAATCTTCTGTTTCTGAACTTGAAGCTTTCTCAAACCCTTATAGTAAATTTACGTCTAAAGTTGTGCGGTCCTAGACAGCGGGTTTCTTTATGACCAATGCGTTTA